CGCAATCAAAAGATACAGCCGTTTATGCCGCAAATTTTCGACATTCGCAACGGAATCAAAACCTACAGGGTACTTCCCGTGAACTCAGACTCTTAAAATTAGGTACGAAGCAACGTATTATAGCACGGATAAAGGAAAAATTGCGAAAATCATTAATTTTTAATTACATCATATGATAAAAATATTTTTAATAATTATAAACTTATATACCTACGGATTTATTCGGAACCCTCGGTTCGCGAGTCCGACTCGCACTTGGACGGTTTTTTTTCTTATTTGTTAGACACGTTTCCTAACGTTGTTCTCCTTCACCACCGAGCGCATGGTAAATCAGCACCTAAAATGCAATTAACAATGTCATTAGTGCCGGCGGGGTTTGAACCCAAGTTGCTCGCGTACTGTGATATTTACAGCGAGCGCTTAGTGTCAGCTACCATGGCTCACATGATAGAGAAGTTAATCTTCTGCTTTCTTCTTCTTTATCAGCTCGTTAAAGTCTAATGCTGGACATGTACTTACTTTTACACGTAGTACCGGACATGAGCACCATTGACGCTGCTACCCCGAGTATATTCCATTTGACATAAACGATGGGCTAAGGTCAAATGGCGCACAGCCTGTAATTGGCTATGTACTGGCTCTCCCTACAAGCCGAAACATAACCGTGCGAGTATTTAGCGGTTTCTATCCAGATGGAGTCTAGACAGAAATGGAGTTCTGCAACCGAGTAGGTTGTCCTCGTGTCTCTGATGATGCTTCCAACCTTCTTCTACCTCTTATCGCATAGGCGTTACATCGGATAATCATAATCAAGTTGCCCTTTTTTTATTAAAAACTACCCGATTTTTGAACACAAGTAAGGTTGAGTCGTCGAGACAAGTTGAGGTTCTCAACTTGTCTCGATAATCTATCCTCTATTAAGAAGAACAATGCTGTGCATTGTCACCTTTGAAGACTAGTAATTGACTGCAATGATATTAAGAAAATATTAATTAGTTTTTACCATTATACATTTACGGATGTTGCGATTCCAACCGAAGCACGTCACATAATGAGGTTGTTTTGAAGTTCCACCTCACTACAATGATGTAGTCGTTACGAGTCAGTCGGACAGCAAAAGCGCGCTTTTAATTATAACAGCTTTTCCGCATTTGCAATGCTCGAGTGCGACAGTTGCAGCTCAAATAAATGCAAAAGCATAAAATAAATGAAATATAACAAATATGAAATCTATTTACTACTTAATGATATGCTTTTGTAATCTTGTAGTTTCAAATTAAATATTGAGTAAGTTCTCTAGTGTCTATTATTAGTACATCTTGTTGTGTATGTGTATGTTACAGTCAAAATTCATAACCGGTCAAAACCACTTTAGATTGTAAGAAATCGTGCAAAAGTAGTTTTGACCAAGGCCGTTGGTAAAATCAACTTTTAACTTCAAAAATACTGGGTAATAGTGATTTTGACCAACAATGTTAGTCAAAATTTGTTTTGACTTATACGGATACGGAGCTCGAAGAACCGACAACCGATGGGGAAAAAAGGTTCTCGAGTGGCAGCCTCGTACCTGCAGGCGAAGTGTTGGGCGTCGCCCCACTAGATGGAGTGACGACCTGGTAAGATATGCAGGAAGTCGATGGATGCAGGTGGCTCAGGACCGTGCTTTGTGGCATTCCTTGGGGGAGGCCTATGTTCAGCAGTGGACTTGTGAAGGGCTATAATGGATGGGATGGATGGATACTTTTTGAATTTCTGAAATTAAAAAGTTCAATTTCTTTAATATTATATTTTATATGATTATAATGTACGCGGCTTTCGGGTGGCCCAATGGCCACCCCAGCGGCACCTTAACCTACTGTTACTGATATTGCGAGTTTTGACCGATATTGTGAAGTTTAAATCAGACAACACCACTTTTGACTAAGAACGTTGGTGAAAACCACTTTTGACTATAAAAATCAGTTAAAACTTCAAAACCATTTTTGCCCGTCAAAAGTGATTTTGACCGGTTTGAGTTTTTACTGTGACGTTATACATTACTAGCTAGCAGCCGCTAACTGCACAGAAAAAGAGTTTTTTTTTTAAACAAATTACAACTTCTGTGTGTTTTTTGATTGTAAAATATAATTAATTTACATAATTTTCATACTTGTCAGGTTACGAAATTAAACTGAACATCTTGAGACATTATCTGCAAGTGCATAGTAGGGGATATGAGAATGTGGAATAACTTGTCAAGTGTTTTTCCTGATAAAAAGGTGGTAGGGGATGCCTTTTTGATCTTGGAGTTCGTATGAGTGGAAACGACTTGCTTATTTATATCTGGCACCAAGCAACAGTGTCATATAAATGTTTGATGCTTTTAAAAATAATAAATCTTTATATTATTTATATATAAATAATTATAATTCTTCTGTCCGTGTACATTTGACTGAACACCTAAACGGCTGGACCGATGTTGATTAAATTGACTCGAGAATGGATAGAGAGTATACAGTAGAGTCTCAGTATTTCCTGGACGCTTAACCTCCAGTGCTTAACACCGGTTTCTCCGGAGGTATCCGGTTACGGGCTAACTCGTCATCTGTCCGTGAGAGATTAAACGAGGATCAACACATTTCAACTGTCTCACAGGACGGGACGACGTAGTTTGTTGACATTGGAATTGTTACACGTGTAAAATTTATCAAGTTTTATTTTCGTAATGTTTTTGCGCATCAAAATCATTATTTACCAAACTTAACAAATAGTTCAGTTGGACTTGGAGTAGCGAAAATAAAAATATATTATGCAGAAATGTTGCTCTACTCCTTTTGTTGGGAAGAACAGTCTTCTGTCGTCGATCTTAGAAATGTATTTACTTGCTTCTTTTTCCAGAAATATATAACTAGTAATAAAAAGGTGTAATATAATTTATTAAAATTAGAATATTTTAAAATAATCGAGAAATAACCGTAATAGTAAGTTTTTATTTATTTGACATTATTGAAATTTACACTATTAAAGACTTACAGTCTGCGAAACTGCTCAGCAGTTTGTAGGCAGAAAAAAATGTATGAAATGTTATTGCTATGTATATTCCTATTCTGGTCTACCATTTTGGTACCTTAAGGATGTGGACCTTTCATTACTGTTTACAGCCAATAAAAACACAGCTGAACAAAGGCTTCCCCCGTAGCTTGCCACGCAGAGACAATTAGCCACAGTTGCCATGCTTGCCATTCAGGTTGGCAACCGCGGTTTTTTATAAGTTAGAGTTAAGTTTAAGGATAATGTGTGATATTATTATTAAAATATTGCCTTATTTAACATTTAACACTGTAAAGAGGTTATGAACTTTTATTTACTGGAGTTCTCGTTTACGATGTGGATGTGTTGTAAAAGTAGTACTCGAGACAGTCTGTAAATCAATGATTATAGATTTATAAAAGCATTTAATTAATATCTTAAACCTGTTCAAGTGAAAAAATTTCACGAATCTCTTAGGGGAAGATTTAGGTTTGCAATTTATTTTAACATTAAATAATTTGTTACGTAATATTTTTACTAGGTGTTAGTGTAGTTTTCCTACTAGGTGGAAGGAGTTCTTTCTACCCAGGAGTTCGTTTGGGGGTGGGTATCACTCTCTTACCTATTTCCGCCGCTACACAGCAGTGCACTGCTGTATTGTGATGTGAAAGGTATAGAGAGTTAGTATAATACAGGTTGTGGGACACTCCATCTTTATTCTCAGAGGTGACAACGCACCTGTAGCCTTTTTTAATCGACTTCAAAAAGGAGAAGGTACTCAATTGGACTGTATTTTTTTCTTTTTTATGTGTTTTACCTCGTAACTTTTCTGTAGGTGAACCGATTTTGATGATTCTTTTTTTATTTGAAAGATGGTGCTTCTTATGTGGTCTCATATAATTTTGATCAAGGTCAGACTAGTAGTTTTTGAGTTATCCTTAATAATTTATATTGAAGTCGGTAGTACATAATTTTCAGTTTTATCACTTGTATTGGCTGTAATAGCCACCATGTGGTGAACTGTAAATTTCTTTGCAGGAAACGAGTCCCACTAAACAGAATATTATACTAAAGTGTATAAAATTAAATGTAACTAAAAGGTTACACACAATCTTAAAAACTATAATAAAGAAAAACTACAACTATAAAAAAAAATTACTTATCATACAGTCCTACTCCCCACGGTATCGTGCCAAGAACGCTGGCTGCGTTTTCTCTCTGAATGGCTATAGTTAGCCTTTGAGCGAGAAAAGAACCAGCCCTCCTATCACCTTCATCATCATCACCTTCGTCATTCTTGGATGGATACAGTTCCTTTAGGAACTTCACCGCACGTGTACCCCACGGACCGATAGTTTCTACAGCAAATGGCACACCAAAAATTATTATTTTAAATAATCTATTATGAGGCGATGTTTAAATAATACCATTATTGTTTCACGTCTGCTTGAAATTTGATCATTTAATTGCTTAAACCGTTTTGTATGAAAAATAATTTTTATGTATGTGTATACAATGCTCACTTCATTTTATCTGCACAAACACACATGACTTTTCTGTGGAAAGGTTAAACTGACCTTCCGAATCATGTAAGTTTTATTCCCCTCCTGTTCTACGGTGTACACGTGTTTAAACTATAACATTTACATATATAAATAAAATTGAAGTGTCTGTTCGTAATATAGAAATAATTCTGCCTTTTATTGAGCTGAGGATAATTACATTACATTGACCAATGTGAGGGGGATGTAGTCTATATAAATTGTAATAAAAAAGGGTTTTTAACTAACTAAAATCTAAATAACGCTACATTAATAGATCTTATCTAGGCAAAGTCGAGGCGGGTTGCTAGTATAATAATAATATGACAAAGAACTTGCCACTATTACTGAATAATGACATTAATAAGGACAAAACATATATTATATGTAGGATAAAAAATAAATATAAGTATATATGTTATAAAAAGGACAATATTTCTATTGTTTCAGCTTACGGGAAGGTGTTTCTAGTTAGAAAAAGATGCGGCGTCGACGAGGGCAAACTTTACGCAATGAAGGTCCTCAAGAAAGCCTCAATTGTACAGAAGCTGAAGACGGCGGAGCACACTCGGACGGAACGACAGGTGGGTTTTTTGACCTAGGGCTCTTCATAAATAGAAGTATTGGATTACTGTAAAGATACTAGTAGGAGATTTAGAATGACGACGGATGCAGATGGCTCGGGACCGTGCTTTATGACATTCCTTGGCGGAGACCTATTTACTGCTCCCACGATACAGGAGAAAACTATAGTGGGGGTATAACTTTTTTTTAAATTGTTTCTCGAATGGCGTACTTTGAACTTGAGTTTTAATGACGCTCGAGCGGTCACACGCTAATTTCTGACTCTCTTAGCCTTGGGTCTGAAAGAAGATCTTTCGTCTGCATGCATACAAGAAATTAGTATTCTAATGCAAGAGCATGCATTTATCACATAGCCTGCACAGAATGTAATGGTTAGCGGGAGTCACTTATCCGGTGACCCGCGTACTTGTTTGTCTCCTTCTATTCAACATTTTGGTTGGTGATAAATGCTGTTAGTACCACAATCGTAAAGATTGTTTTTATCCCAATTAATTAAAGAATATTTCTATAATCATTTCATTAAACATCAAATGTGAAGAAAACTATAAAACGATTAATGACAAGATATTTTTATTTATAAAAACATACCACAGCTTTACACGTGTTAGAGCCACGCTGCAGCTATATTAGTGGTAGCACGAGTGGGTCGGTTCCACCAGGGTCGAACCAAGCTCTCACAGAAAACCAGCGTAAAATAGCAGCTTAATGCTGCCGTGGTTCGTATGGTGTGTGTAGAGAACCGGAGACCCTTTTTACTGGCAACGAGGCATTTCATCTTAGTCCTCAGGGGTGACAACGCATTCGCATTTTGATTCGTAACCGAGGATAGATGTAGATGTCTATGGGCCACAGCAACCACTTACCATCATCAGGCGGAATGTGTGCTTGTTTGTCACCCTAGTCCTATCAAAAAAAAACTTGAGTTTTAATGAGTGGTCACGCTGTACTCTCATTTCTGACGCCTTAGCCTTCTGCCTGAATATAGAGCTATCGTGTGCGGCACCTTATTGAGCGTGGACTTGGACACTAATACAAGACCGTGTATTTATCACGTAGACGGAACTGAATGTAATGGCTGCCAGGAGTCACTAAAGAGATGACTCCGCACGCTTGTTTGTCCCCCTCTTATTGAATATTGTTGTTGGTGTCACAATTGTGAAGATTGTTTTTATTATCCGTTTTGTTCAAAGATGTTGTTGTGCCATTGTTTATTTTCTCCAAACAATTTAAGAAAATAATCTATAATCACTTCATTAAACATGAAAAGTGAAGAAAGCAATGAAACGTTTAATGAAAGGATTAATATAATTTTTAACAGTGGTAGAGGCACGCGGCAGCTTTTGCTGTCGCACGGATGGGCCGGCTCGAACCGGGGTAGTACCACGACCTCACAGAAAACCAGCGTGAAGTAGAGGTTTACCTCTGCCTTTCGCTTGGTGAGTGCAGGTGGCCGGAGGCCCTTTTTACTGGAAATGAGGCATTCCATCTTAGTCCTCACGGGTGACAACGCATCTACATTTTGATTTGTAACAGAGGATAGATGTAGATGTCTATGGGCCGCAGCAACCACTTACCATCAGGTGGACTGTTTGCTCGTTTGTCACCCTTATCCTACAAAAAAAAAATTTTTTATTAAAAATGATACCACAGCCACTACACAGCTATAGGGAAATATTTTTTTAAATTTATATAATTTGTTGAATTAAAAATTATACATTAACTATTTGTTTTAATTACACAGTAAGGTATATTTATTAACTTATTTAGCTTTGACCGCATACCGCCGATCACTTACTGGTAATTGTGTGTCCGCTGTCTGCATGCACCATACACTTAGCTACGTATGACAGGATACGTCAATTTCTAGTGCTGGATAACATTATATTCATATGTTGTATATATATTATTAGTGCTATTGATCCGTTACCGTTATCGTTATAGGCTATTAAAGTCCACTGCTGAACATAGGTCTCTCCCATAGATTGTCACATAGGGGGGATATTTGACATAGTTGCCACGTTTGGCGAGCGGGTTGGAAACCGTAGTTTATTTTTATTCGTTATTAGGAAGACGCTGCTGCCCATCTCCTGATTTGTTTCCCTCTGTAGCCTCTTACGACACCCACCGGACGATATGGGGTAGTGGATATTCATACACCACCACCACACGGTGATCATGAAATAAATAAATAAATAAAATCCCCGCCCAGCTGTACGCTTGTCACTGTACCACACCCCGCTGCGCTGCTTGCTCGAAGTTTCTACACTGACCCTAGAGAAACCATTTCCTCGTGTTACCCCGCAGGCGTAGTAAAAGTGGACTTAAGGAAATGTCAGCAAGGCCGTGTCGGAATAATGTCGTGGTCACCACCTGTTATATCTTTCACACTCCTATTCGGAATCTTTCGTCACCGCTCGTTTTACTCGGCCATTTAAGTTCCTATTTCGAGTAAAATACTATTGGTTGGAAATAAATATATTTATTATTAGCGACCCAGCCCGCCTTCGTCTAGATAGGATCTACTAATGTAAAGTTATTTAGATTTAATGTAATTTGCGTTTTCTTAAAAAAAATTGTAGCCTAGGTCCCTTTTGCCATTGCTTACTGGCTGTTGGTAAAATTTCATCACAATCAATCCAGCCATTTAGAAGATTATCCCGGTCAGACAACAGACAAAATGAAAAAAAAATATTGTTATTTATGTCTAAGTGGCATGCAAATAAACCCCTGAGCTTTATATTACTACAGTTATTTCAATATTACAGACAGACATTTCAATTTTGTTGATATCCTATAGACTATAGTAATATATTAAAATTTACCGACTTTCTTTTTAAAATTGCTAATTAGAATTCATGTTAATTCTCCACCAAGAGGTACCCAAAACGTAGCCGACATAATATCCCAAAACAGTCGTTTGATAATAGTAACCGGAAATAATACATAAGCACATTGAAGTAATATGTACTACGTATTAGAACAGACTGCGAACAAAATCTGTGCGTCACGCCAGTGCGGGGCGCGTGGAAGGAGGTAACAGATTACCTAACTTTTAATGGCACAGGCATATTATGCCCTATTCCTATATTCAAGAAACGTTTCGTTCTCCGTAACGATCCGTTTTATTACATACGAGGTGCATGTAAAAACAGTTTAATGTTACAAACTAATCATTCAGCAACTTAGGATGACTTAAATTTTAAATAAAAAACGGTTTGTAAATATAATTGAAATTGAATTTTGTTTATATAAGGGGTTTTATACTGAATAACGGCTCGTTAAAGAAAACGAAGCGTTTTTTAAACATAGAAACGCGGCATTAGTAAGTTTTAGCCCACGAGGACTAACGCGTGTAGCGTCCAAACAAGTCGCAGTGCGGCGCCTCATGTACGTAGTACAGTAGTTAATCTATAAACATAAGTAACGCCGTTGCTACACGGTTAATATCCCTTGTGCCATTTCTACTTAACTACGTACAAGGGATGAAGAGTGTTAAGTAACTCTATAGGATTAGAAAAGTTAAATGATACGCACGCATACGTAAGTAGGTAACAATCCACTTAAACGTTTCGTTGCACATTTTAATCTTTTATTGCTTATTACATACGACGGGACACGATTGCCACTCACCTTAGGAATAACAAATATGTACTCAAAACTGAATTTCGAGCACAGACTGGCTACTGAGAATTTCTTGATAAAAAAAAACCAATAAGTGATTTATGGCCCGACCCCGGTTCGAACCGTGGACCACAGGATCAGTCATCAGTGGCGTCTTCGACCACTACACTCACGAGACCACTAGCATTACACCGCCACTACACGATTAACGTGATAGTATTACCTAATAAAATATGCTTCATTGTACTAATTTGGATTAATTTTAGATGTATATGTGTGTGGCGGATTGGGATTATTTTATTAGATATAGTGGACTGTATTGAGATCCTAAATCCCCTGAAACGTTCAGTTATCGCAGTCACAAAATTTTTGTTGTTATGTTTACCAAGAAAACAATAAACTACTCACGGTCTTTTACTAGCCAGCCTCCCAAGATCAGTAAACATTGACAGCTCCTGGTAGCTTCTTCTCCACGGTAGAGTACACTAGTAATCAGATTGTACCACGGTACACTCTGGAGAAGTCCTTTTTTTTAAAAGTTTTTTTGAGAGATATTCAACGTCGCAATGTTGGCGCTAGATGTAACAGACGCTCAGATCGCAGCCGATCATTGTGCCTCGGTATAAATTTTGTGAGTTGGGGCTTATTACTGAACAAAGCGTATTTTTTTATAAAGATGTTTCCACTACGTATTTCAAAGTTCCGGTATCGTTCATGTACCAAGACATACACTTGTTCAATCAAAAGTTATCGTACCCACCATCCGCACTGCCGTAGCTATTAGCTGGTAACGTTGTTCTTTACGACGAGTGTATCCGGATAGGTCAGTTTCAGCGAGAGCCGTAGTCGCTTACGCCGTATTTAAATTACCGTCCGTTGGAAGCGACGAGTGAGAGAAAGACCAACGTCACGAAACTAGATAGAATAAGTAATTTACATTTTGTCGGATATGAAAAGAAACACCAATCACACGCTGCTTATATCTTCTCTTAATTGATAGTGATAGATGGTAGATATAAGTATTATATCTTTCTATATAGAATAATGGTGATAAACGAGCACAAAATCCACCTGATGGTAAGTTGATACTCTGGCCCATAGACATTTAACTATTCGATTCAGAATCAAATAATGTACGTGGTAGAGCCAAGCTGCAGTTATATTTATAGTATGGTTGTAGCACGAATGGGTCGGCTCGACCGGGTAAGGACCACGCTCTCACAGAATACCAGCGTAAAATAGGAGCTTAACGCTGCTGTGTTTCCTATGCAGTGTAGAGAACCGGAGACTCTTTTTACTGGAAAAGAACCATTCCATCTTAGTCCTCACTAAATAAGGAATAAATATAGATGTCTATGAACTACAGTATCCACTTACCATCAGGTGGACTGTGTGAGTCGTTTGTCACTCATGTTCTATAAAAAATAGAATCAGCCATTACTTTGCGGAAATCCATTAATATTAAAGATTTTAAAATCAATTAGCTAAGATTTGATTAGTAATGAAATAAAGTGATATGTCTTACGTGGTTTCAAGAGCACCTCCCGCCCTTCCTCAATTGCGTGCATCCTTGTCATCACTACTCCCAACACTACACTAGGAAAGACACCACCGTCGATAATATGACACCTGTTTCGCCTCTACACGAGGCACCCTTTGGTGAAGTAAACGAAAGAAAAACTTTTATGTTTCCCAACACGCACTTGGCAATTTTTATTATTTTAGAAATAGGACTTACTTCGCCATAGTTCGTTATAAATAAAGAGGAGATAATTAATTTTTTTTTAACCTACCATATGTTAAACCCTTAAAATCAATATTTTACTGAATTTTCGATTCGATCTAAAAGTACGATTTTTCGATCCTCAGTTAAAATTTATTCATAGGATAAAATGCAACATGAACAAATTGAAAATTACAGTTGTATGAATAAAATAGTTAATTTGTTTAATTTTAAATCAAGTCAAGTTATCCAGGATAACTTATCTAACGATTGAAAAAACGGCCCTAAAACAAACTAAAAGATAACTTCTAAAGATAACCAAGACATGTGATAAAATTAAAAATTTTGTTCAACCGACTTCAATATAAATTATTAAGGATAACTCAAAAGCTATTGATCACACCTTGATCAAATTTATATGGGACCACAGGGGAAGCACCAGCAAAAAAAGAATCATTAAAATCGGTTCACCTAGAAAAAAGTTATGAGGTAACACACATAAAAAAATCATGCAGTCGAATTGAGTACCGTCTCCTTTTTGAAGTATCTAGAAAACTCTTTCTACTCGCCATAATTCAGTAATCTCTTCCCTTCGAAACTGTTCGATTATTCAATTGCGGTTTCACTGTTTCAAAATGTCGTTGTGTCCGCCCATACGAATTTCCCAGAGTTAATTATATCCAGATGCAATTAGCGCAATCGCTGCACAGGACTCGCGTTCCGATCGTTGTGTTAGGTATTGATAAGTGGAAAATTGATGTTGCGTAATGTTAGGTTTGCTAACAGTTATGTTATATAAACTATTATCACGTATATCAGTTATTACGTTGTCACCCCCGGAGTGCTAACAAATGAAATACGATACATTACTTAAATTAAAAAAATTAAAACACCTGAAACAAAAACAGCTGATGATTTTCAAACGGCTGAACTGAGATAGATTGAAATATAGCTAAAAACACTCTTGATTAAAACAACTTATAATGGAATAAAACTATATCAAAATCCCTTTATCCGTTCGGGAGCTATGATGCTTCAGATAGACAAATATACATACACAGGTACACGCAACAAACCTATAACATCCCTCTGTATTCGTCAGTTTTTTTTTATAAAATGAGGGTGACAAACGAGCACACAGTCCACCTGATGGTAAGTGGTTGCTACATATACGGCCCATAGACATCTACATCTATCCACGTTTGCGTTGTGAGCCGTGAGGACTATGATAGAATGTCTCTTTTCCAGTAAAAAGGGTCTCCGGTTCTCTACACTCACCATACGAAACACAGCAGCATTAGGCTTTTAGTTTACGCTGGTATTCTGTGAGAGCGTGGTCCTTCCCAGGTCGAGCCGACCCATTCGTGCTACAACTATACTATTAATATAGCTGCAGCATGGCTCTACCACGTATAAAACGTCAGTGGTTAAAAACACACAATAACACAGAAAATGCTATTACCCTAGTATTCTTTGTAGATAGTTACGGTTCTTTCCCCGTCGCCCGCATATTCTTGCTGCCGTCAAAATACAGCAGCATATTGATAATGCGGCGTTCCTAATCATCAGGATTAACAAGTTCTAATAGATTTTTGCGTTGACTTCTGATGGTTTTATTCTTTCTACAGGTCCTAGAGGCAGTACGAGCCTGCCCGTTCCTGGTCACACTTCATTACGCCTTCCAGACGGACGCTAAACTGCATCTCATATTAGGTAAGTGCTATTTAAGCTCGATTAAAATGACGACTTGAATTTCAATTGTGCTCATATTACTTACGTGCCCGAATAACCGATACATTATAAATTATATTATATTTTACGTTATTTTTCTCCCTTTCTGACTAAAAGCTCACCTTGTATTCGTAGTCAATGTATCAATAGCTTTCTTTTGACTCCAAGCTGACAGGTGTCAATATGCTAAAATAGCCATTCACCAGCTGCTTGACTGTCACATCATTTTATTTCTTAAATGTTATAAATACTTCAATCAACAACAGTCATATACGCGGTTAGATCTATATAGCCACGGTGTAAAATATGATATTGTAGACATTACAAAACCAGACTAGACACCGCGCAGTCGACAGAAGGGAAAAAAATGTAAAGTCGACAGTGCCGCGCGTTTGCAAAACATCCTAGTCATACAATGTTGCTAGATTGGAAAAGGAAGAGAGACCTGACTTTACAAAATGTTGAAGGGGAATGAATTATGTAATTACGTGATATGCTATATTCGGATTGGTGTTGGCGACCGCTTGTTTCTGTCAGGAAAGATTTTCTTACGTATCAAAGACATGGATAATCCACCGCCCGTCTATTTTAGACACGCCTATTTTATCTTAGACAGACGGTTAATGTCAGACTCCAATCGACTGATTAAATGTCGGACTCCAACCAACTGATTAAACTTCGCGGTTATCCTTATATTAGCGTCGACAAAGGTTCACAGAACCCGTATAGAAATTGGTTTCGTCTGGTTAATCAACTGCTATAGTTTTATTTTTAATTACCATGTGCTAGGACTCTTGTTCTGCCTAGGAGCTCGTCTAGGTAGAAGCCACCCTTTTACCTATTTCTGGCGACAAATAGCAGTGCCTGCACTGCTGTGGTACGGTCTGCAGGGTATAGAGAGATAGTGCAATTACAGAATGTTTTTTTTATAGGATAAGGGTGACAAACGAGCACACAGTCCACCTGATGGTAAGTGGTTGCTGTGGCCCATAGACATCTACATCTATCTTCGATTACGAATCAAAATGCAGATGCGTTGTCATCTATGAGGACTAAGATGGAATGCCTCGTTTCCAGTAAAAAGGGTCTCCGGTTCTCTACACTCTCCATATGAAACGCTAGAGCGTTAAGTTGCTATTTTACGCTGGTATTCTGTGAGAGCGTGGTCCTTCCCCGGTCGAGCCGACTCATTCGTACTACAATTATACTAATATATAATTTAGCTGCAGCATGGCTCTACCACGTCTAACACGTTTTGAGTTGTTTTCACGGAGATGCTGCTGCCCATCTTCTATTTCAGTTTCCCTTAGTCGACTCTTACGGCACCCACGGGACGATATGGGGTAGTGGATATTCATATACCACCACTACAAGTTTTTCAAATTGCATATTTATTAGAAATTCCTACGGAAGACAGTTGCTTTCTGAATCGGTGTAGATTTTGACGTTCATTAGAGTTTTGAACAAGCCGTAAACTGAATAAAAACGACGTGTTCTTTTTGCCTATCAGTAATAATCTGACCACTATTACAATACACGAATTTTTTTACGTGGTAGAGCCATACTGCAGCTATATTATTGGTATAGTTTTAGCACGAATGGTTCGGCTCGGCCGGGGAAGGACCACGCTCTCACAGAATACGAGCGTAAAATAGCAGCTTAATGCTGCTGTGTTTCGTGTGGTGAGTGTAGAGAACCGGACACCCTTTCTACTGGAAACGAGGCATTCCATCTTAGTCCTCACGGGTAGGGATAACCCGATTATTTGTTTTGAATCGATCTACTGGATCGTAACCTCGTGAATCGATCCACGATTTAATCATATTCGATAATGAATCGATCTTATTCGATCTCGGAAAATCGCATCGTAATTTTATAAAAATAAATAAAAGCACAGTATGCATTCAAATTTATTTCATTTAATAATGCTATATATTACGGTATCCAGTGAGTTCTTCCAAATTATTATTTTTGAAAAGTATAAAACAGGTTTTACATTATAAATTTCAGCTATCTACATTTAAACTCTTCAAAAATAATAATTTGAGATGATAACATTGGGTAGTGTATAACTAATAATAGGCTGTAATAAATTCTATGTTCGTTCACGTTGTCGATGGTTACTAGTTAGCTCTTTGGTAACCCTAATAATATAACTCATTTGTCTATTTGAGTCATGATTCCTTTAATAAGTTGTTCTGCAAGATTACACTCGGACCCGCGGGTGGGCTATTGTCATAACTTTCAACAATCGATTAACAATCGATAGCGAAGCATGATCGATGCTTCGCGCATTTCTGGGCTGGATATTAGCTCAAGCAACCGGGTCAAGGGGAGGCTTGCCTTACGCAAATGATTGCGGTGTTCAATTTACCGCTGTTTTCGAATCTATTGCAATAGCGTTTAATGTCGGTTTTAGTTTAACCGAGTGGAATTTCATTGGACACAATTGAAGACTACTGACTGCTATCTTTTGTGTGGGCCTTGTTTGCTAGTTTTACTTATTTTGATCTGTTTGTTCAATGATATAATCCAAATAGCAGCTTAGTGCTGGTGTAATGATTTCGTATATTTGCGCGAACACTATATGATCACAAACTGCAGACTTCCACCACCAACGTTCCGGGAAGTCTGCAGTTTGTATTCATATCCTAGACGGTCCCCGCCATTATATCAGATTTGACAGAGAGAAATCCTTGCGAAAGTGCATCGATTCCTACCAAGGATGATACGACCCCAGAGAAAAAGGTTGGGTACTACGACCTGCTTGGGATCCTGTAATTTATCAAATCAAAGCTAAACCCAAGTATACCACTGCAAAACCTTAGGACACAATAAGCACATTCTGTGTAGATCTGACCAAAAGTAATAATTAACAGCTGAAGGTACTCCGGGTTAATTTTGACATTGGGGCGTCAATTACCTTAGTGACCCCCCGTAAACATGGGTGCTAGAAAGCACCCGAAACGTCGGTAAATAAAATTAAATAAAAATAATACGCGTTAAAATCCGTAAAAGTAGTTTCACGAAGGCGGCACTGAAAATTTCGGGAATCAATCAGCTTACGCACAGCATCAACGTTTTCTTGGGTGACTGCAGTTTTTGGACGACCTTGATGGGGATCATCACTGAGCTTGACACGTCCACGTTGAAATTCAGCAAACCAGCGATAAATTGTGGTTTTGGATGGGGCTTCATCACCAAATGCAGAAATCATCCGGTCAACACACTGTTTTTGTGTTAAGCCACTTCGAAAGTCATAATAAATCATCGCTCTTGAATTTTCTCGAGTCAATTCCATTTTCTCAACGACTAAACAAGTTTGACAAAACCTTGTGACAAGACCGAGAATCTTTTTTTTAAATAAATAAATGGTATTCGATTTTTAAAACCAAGGAGTTTTCAATTAAAAAGTTTTTAATATGACAGGAACAGTGGAAATATTCCATTCTCGATACTTTTAGTGCAGCCTATGTATGATGAGTGTAGAGAACTGGAGACTTCTTTTTACTACAAACGAGGCGGTCCATCTGAGTCCTCAGGGGTGACAACGCATCTGCATTTTAATTCGACAAGTCGCGCTTCATGTTACCTATGGTCTTATATTCACAACGGAAATATGTTTGGAGCTAGTCCTAAGTCATCTTATTCATAGTAGTTATAATAATAACACTGAAAGTATACAGCAGCGTTAAGCTACTATTTTACGCTTTTTGGTATTCTGTGATGGTCCTTCCCCGGTCGAGCCGACCCATTCGGGCTACAACTATACTACTAATATAGCTGCAGCATAGCTACTACGTAAAACTACATACTTACTGATAATTTCTAGATTTCTATTTCCACTAACATTTCGAGAGATACACCATAATAGTTTTTTTTTTGAAACCGAGTTATTTTCACGTCACAGCACAATTTATTAGCCCAAGAATTCGTCCGCGTTGGTTCCATTCTCTTAATATTCCTGTCAAGCAGCAGGCCACCTTATAATATTTCGGTTTAAATGGTAACCAGTATCAATACAAGTTGTGAGGCATTATAAGCCACAGTAGCATAATGTTACCGTGCACCGCGAACTCAAAAGGTCGTGGGTTCGAATCCACCATTCGATTGCTGTCGTGAACCACTCCCAATCGTTTTAAACTTACCAAGAATAGTTAAAAGGAGTATTAGTTAATAATTTTTTTTTAATTTAAAAAAAATCGATCTTATTCTCTAAGATGACAACGCATTTCTTACCGTCTTTCTTTCAAGTTGTTACAGTTGCAGGTGTCAATGGGGTGCAGTAGTTTTTTATCTACTGGATGTTTGAACGTTTGTTGCTCCAATATTATAAAATTAGCTTAAGTACTAAAAGCTGAATTATCGCTGCAGCCTATGGTCAGTTTACTTTAATCGTCATTTGTCAGAGACATTCGACTGTAAACTGTCAGGTATTATAACTGACAGTTTACAGTCGAATGCGTGGCGTTACTCATTATACTAGTCATCACATTGCGAAGTGGCAGTACCAAAATGGACATCAACAACAATATAAGTTGATTAGTAATCACAGATTGTCATGTATTGGATGAATAAAAGTTAGAAGTGCGTATTGCTTGCGTAATATAATCTTAAGTGAGTGTAAATGCGATAGATAGCGGTATAGCCATCTCGTTTCCGTCATAAAATACCCAGACCGGCTGTCAGCGACGTCTATGAGGGATAAATAACCTTCCGCTCACCAGATGTCGTTAGGTGGGACTTAGGTGAAGTTTTTTGTTACTTAGTGACATTTAATTGAGAAATTAATTTTAAATAAAACTTTATCAGTTTCCAGAGTGTTATATATTAATACACAAATCAATCTCTCAGTGGTTTGTGCTTATTTTATTTTATTTTTTAGATATTCTACTTTGAGAAATATCAGCGGTTTGGTTTATTAATTTCTAACGTAATTAATATAAACTATAATTAATATTACAGAAAGAAATATTAGCTCT